TCCACATACAACTTCCCGATAATAAGTGTTGTCGAGCTATCAATTTATGCATATTATTACGATTTTGCTAAATCAACCTCGATGATTTCCTGAATCCTTCGGGTACGATCTCTGGATTGTTAAATAAAACTCGCCAACTTAATTTGCAGTTTCTTTCGTTATAAAGAATTTATCTAATGTCCTTTATTTACTCCGTAATTCACAATTCAATTATAATGCACTTCACTAGCTACAATTACTTGCCTAAACTTTCACCATTTACTCTACTTAAATGTAATTCCCAACGCACGCGTTTACTTTACGACTCTACTGATGTTAACGCCAACGAGCTCACTTTGTAACTGACTTAACTTGGCAGCTGAGTGTCCCCTTATATAGCAGTCGGCTGCTCGCAGACGAAAGCGTAGAACCATCGAGTTGTTCGCTATCGAAGGTTCTTGTTTTACCGTTTCTAGAATGTGCAACAATATTGTTTATTTTTATTTTTTCGAAAAAACTAAGTTATGTGGAACATTCATAGCAAAATTAAACAGGATTGTCTTTTTAATAAATTTTCTTTTTTATAACTTTGTATTAGTGGGGAAAAAATTTATATTTTATTTAGTTAGCGGAGAACTTTTTTCATAATTACAACACTCTCATGAACACCAAGCGGCAGCACCTAAACAAAAGGGAGGCGTTGTCAGTCTAAGCTGTGCATATTGTAGCAGACTGAACTTCCACCCATCCAGATTCGTCTCTTAAATTGGCTTTGGCCCGAAACTGTATAGCCGGAGTTAGTAGCCGTTTTATGACCTCGGTAACAGGGACTTTGTTTGGCTACCGCTAACTGTGGTTAGAAAGTCATCAGAAAAACTTTAGGAGTCGTGTGTTAGGATATTTTTCTCACTGGTCTTCTCCAAAGTTTGATGCTAGAATGATACATTTCTGCTCATTTCTAAAAGCAAACAAACAAAGTTGACCGCCCGATCAGTTCTTCTGAGCCGGGCCGGATACAACAAACTCCGCAAGGATTGCGAGCGAGATCATGGTGGGGGCTTAGCGTTCATCCTGCACTACGCCGTGCTGTATCGTCTTATCGACGGCGACATCGACCGCAGGGATACTACCCTAGAATGTCCGGGCATAGCTATCCGATCAGGTGATGCCGAGCTCGAGATATTTATTATATACATCCAGTTACAAGTTGCCCAGCAGGATACACCCCTGATATAGGTGTGCTACTCAGGGGTGAAAACCCGTTTGGTTTTAGGCGGCTTTAACGCGCATCACGATCTTTGGCAGTCTAGCCTGTCAAATGACCGTAGAGGAATGGAGCTGGCAGAACAGATAGACGATTCGACATTCTTCGCAATGAGCGACAACACCCCACCAGAGTTATCGGTAATTGCCAAAGCTCGCCGGACATAACAAGCTAATACACAGCGGAAAAAGTTGAAGGAACACTTAAGGACCTGCAGCCTCTCCTCTGGGGCAACCAAGCTCTGGACTACAGTCAAGTCGCTGTCTAACACTGGACGACCAGGTGAAAATTTCATTCGGTGATCGCGCCTCGACGGACCCGAAGAGATGCGTAAGCTATTTTCGCCGACTTTTCACACTGCATCCATCGGTAGACAAAGCGAAGTGACGTATACCGCCGTATGCACAAACTGCCAAACACCAGCGCGGTGCTTGATTTCTCCAGGGAAGAGGTTCAAGGGGTAATCGGGAAGGCGAAAGCCGACGTGTGGAAAATGGGCAGGGTGATCCCGCTACTCAAACAGGGGAAACCAGCCAACAAAGGTTAGTTCTATTGGCCGATAACTCTCCTCTCCCTAGTAGCGAAGACACTTGAGGCCTTACTGCTCCCGACTTTCACTCACCATCTGCGTCCAGCAGCATATCAGCACGGCTTCTGAAAAGTGCACAGCACTAAACGCCATAAACACCCAGATAGTCAATGGCCTTAACCAAAACCGACCCTGCGCACGAACTGTCTTGGTAGCACTAGATTTGTCAAAAGCTTTTGACACAGTAAATCACCCAGTGCTACTAACGGACATTACCGCCGGGGTTGCAGTGGTGGGTCATGGACTACCTGAGTGGTCGACAATCATCGGTAATATTCTGAGGTGAAACATCAAAACCCCGAAAAATTAAACAGGGGGTTCCGCAGGGTCGTGTCCTCTCCCCGCTAGTGTTTAACTTCTATATCTCGAAACTCCCTCCTCCTCCAGAAGGAGTTTCCCTAACCACGTATGCCGATGATTGTACGATAATGGCGTCTGGCCAGGATATTGACGACGTCTGTTCAAAAGTGAACTGCTCCCTAGCCGATCTTTCTGACTTCTTCACTGCACGACAACTAAAACTACAACCGACTAAATCCTCGGCCACCCACTTCACCAGCTGGACGAATGAGTACAGACTTGAACTAGATGTCAAGGTCGATGACACACAAATTCCGACGGTAAATAACCCAAAGATATTGGGGGTAACTCTATACAGCCTTCACTCCTTCACTCCGTAGACAACCGCAATTGCCGCAAAACTCCGGAGCATCACTTGCACAGCGAAGCATCCATGCTATGAGTTAAGGAACGTGACCCTGACACAACTCAGGTCTGAATACCCCAGCATACCCAACGTATGCTCTGCATGTGGAGAGTCTCCACACGACACTAACCACCGCTTCACATGCCCTCTCAAACCAACTCATTTAACCCGGTGAGTTTTACGGCGCCATTGACCTAGTTGAGCGAACTAACAGGTAACACATACGATGTTCAAATGGACGAAAACATTCTGGCTCTGAAAATACTCGATGTATTATCCGCTGGGGAATAAGGAATGAAAGGTTTGCGGTTACCTAATGGACAGCAACAATTGTTACTCAATTTTACTGAAACGAGATCGGTGTGGCAAAAAACGAGTAAAATTTGCACCGAGAGAGCGAAATTTTGACATTTCGTTACAGGTTAATTCTTACTAACATTTATTTTAGCAGCTACATAATAATAATAATATTTATTTTTTTTTAATTTACATTATATTCCATTGAAAAATTAAGAAATATGAGCACTTTTGAAGAAGAATATTTATGATTTAAAAGGCCAATGACGTCGCTGGGAATTTTCTTTCTCTCCACCCACTCTCCAATTATTTGGATCCATTAGGTACTCTCTACAAAAGTTTTGGAATTTTTATTTCATATGCAGTATTGTTTTTATTAAACTTGCCTTTTACGTGATAACTCCATTAATAGTTGTGCCTTTAGTTCTGCCAGTTTTCCTCCTGTGCCGCCATATTCCTCTGGCAATATACTCCGTGGCACATGCTCATACAAGCTCTCCAGACTGCTGGTATGGAATATAATCTTTGATAGAAGTATATTTATAAAGGTTTAATAACTTAGTTAAGATATAAGTATACATATGTACAATGTTTTTAAGTAAATTGTTTGTGCTTACCAGTTTGTAGACTTCACGACTGATAAACGGCTTCATAATACTAACAACTTTATCCAAATAGGACGGACAATTAATAATGTGGATAGCTTTTAAGTGAACAGGCAGAGCCTCCTGCAGAAATGTCATATAAACTCGTAGGGTGCTGAAGGTCATCTTACTTAGATGCTTCAGAGTATAACCATTCATATCGAAAATTTGCACCTCACCATTCGCGAAGGTTTCCACATTTTCACTAGACTCAGAACCGCCATCGTACATATTGAAGCGACAATCGGAGACCATGAAAAAAGCTTTAGTATCGGCTGTGTGATTGACCTAGGGAAATTTGAATGGAGACAATAATACGTAAGCAGTAAACTTTTGCACCCTACACAAAAGAATCAAGTCGATTATCGAATTACAAAAGGTCAAGCTAAATGCAGGGTATGATGAAGCGCAATATATTGTAGCTGCTAATAGGTGGCAACCAGTTTCCTAATCTAGAGTGTTATGCGTAACAGTACCCATTGGATAGTTTGCAGTCAGGTGCTTCCGACTGTATTTAAACGGAGCCTCCCGTATAAAGGTTCACCTTTTGGAGAAACAGTGACTTGCTGCAGTATGGGGCTTTGTCGTAGTCGGCCGTTTGCATTCGCCTTATCATTTTTTCGGTACCAATGATAAACCCCAAGAAGAAAAGCAACCCCAAGTTGATAGGGTTAGGCAGCGGAAATCCACAAACTTCCTCGACAAAAAAGGGCTCAGATCTCAGAAAAACACCTCGATTTAATCCAAGAGCCCCAGACCTGCGTCTTCAAATCAAAAGAAGGCTTCCAAGATACCCTGGCCCTGAACCCGTAGTCCGAGAAGCAGAGTGGCTCAAGGGCCACGTTAAACTTATGCCATGCGTAAAACTAAAATTTCGCTGAAGTTGGAGAGTGGTGGAGTAATAAGCTACGGATTTTACTCCATCATTTTAAAGGTCCACAAGAAGGGCGATACTCTAATCAAGGAGGGAGAGAACGCTGCGAGAGTGGGTCTACCTACCCGAAAAGCTCCACTCATTCTGTGCCTCTACGGAAAGACAAAGGACATAATTTTAATAAAAGGTAAGCATAGAGCTTACCTCAATAATACAGCTACGCAGACACAGTTAGTATGGAAATAAAACTAAAGCGCATGTTATTCCTCTCGTTGTACCGTTGTACTTCACACACGACGATACTCTACCACCGATCCAGCTATAAGAAGCTGTAAAGGAGGCGAACCAGAAATAGCTTCCAACGATTTTTGGAGTTGATGCTAACTCCTGTCACACAGTCTTCCGGTTAAGTGATATAAATATCCGAGGTGAGTTCCTACTTGCTTTTATACTATATGCCAGTGTTTGAGCACCTCCACTTTCATTCCATTAGTTATTGAAACCATCTAAATAGGTACATCTTTTCGTCTCCGCTCCGCCCTCGGTGAGCTTGACTTATAGTTGAAAATTGTCTGTGAGGCACCTAACAGCTAAGAAAGAGAAACCGTAATTCTTTAATGAAGCCAAAAGAACGGGCTCCTGGCAATCCTATGAAGTTTGGCTAAAATTTTTTAAAATCACTATAAGGAAGCAAAACAAGAATCTTGTTAGGCCTACTGCAGTGACATTGTATATACATAATTGGCGCTTGGTAACCGCTGAAGTGATTCTCGGCCGAGCTCCTCTTCAAATTTGTGGTTTTGCCTCTTGATGTTTTGAAGTGACTTACAGTTTATACTAAGCCGCCTCCGAAGGTGTGAAGGTTTTTTTTGAGGAGGTTTATTTCATGTCCGAAATACACTCGAAGATATTAACATTTCCTGCCGAGGGGCGAACGCAACTATAACTTTTTGGATGTTAGTACAACAGCACTCAGTTACCGCGGCCGCGGCAGGAGAGTTGAATGGGCGATAAATTCCATCCCTTTAAATCTCCAGGACTAAGTGGTATCTTCCATGGTGAACTACAAAGGGGAGGAAGAGCCAACCAAGTTAGTCTAAAGGACTTTCGGCACATCTTTCCTCTTAAAAATTTTTTAAGGCTTTTTGACAGCATTATAAGCCTAAATTTCCCCAGAAACAGCCTCTTGAGGGGACGACATGTTTACTCTAAGGATAATACTATCTATACAGCCCTACATGACTTATTCGGGTGTATCGAAAAAGGATCATCTTTGCAGAGATGAGGAGCGGCAGTATCAACAGGCACACAACAATGGGCAACCCTCAAGAAAAAGTGTTATCGCTATTGTTGTGGTGTGGCTGATTAGAAAACTGAATAGAACAGGCTGTACTGTGGTACGACTTTGCTCTAACAGCGACAGCAAAAACCTACAAACTTTAAGCGATCTATTCCAAAATGCCTATACATAGTTGGGTACTAGCCCAAGAATAGTGGGCTGGATATTAAAACTGAAATGGTTTCTTATTTTTAAGCCACCTTAACTAAAAGGCGTGGAGATCACTGTCTTTACTGAAGTAAAATATCTCGGTATAATCTCGGGTAGGAAACTCAACTGAAGCCGGAAAACGGCAGAAAGGTTACCACTGCAGTGTATTCCGAGCGGAACTCTTTGCAATCCTGAAAACAGCCGAGTTGCTGCCAAATCTACCACAACAAGATAATCGGTTACGATAAACTAGCTATCAGATCTCTACAAAGCAACAGTGTCTGGGTACCAAAACAAAGTGACATCCCAGACAATTGCTTGACAGACAAATAAAGCAATTAAAGAGCCAGGATAAATGTGCTTAAACTGACCCTTTTTACAGAATCAGACTGAAGATGGCTATAGCCGAAGTTGGACGCGAAAAAATTAAAACATCTTATCCTTCTAGACCGCTTCTCCATTAACATAACGACAGGCCAAATGAGACTTCCGCGCTACAAATCCTTCCCTAGCCTCAGCGAAAATTTGGGATCTCGTTGCCTGCATACGAAATGATTTGATCATTCGAGAAGGTGAAGATAGGAGCCTCACAGCTAACAAGACTGTGCTTACATATGGATGCTCTCATAGCTATTTACGGGCGATTTTCATTTTGGTTTTGGAATTGACGTTCACCCGGAGAAATGTTGTTTGAGTAACTCTCTTCCATTGCATTTATTTTAACGATTTGTACCATACTTTACAGTACACTCGACCTCTTTGCAAGTTTTATATATCTTTTACTACCAATTACGCTATAAATATATTAATTTATTTTATAATTCCCTAAATTCAGGGATTTAAAAATGAATGTGAAAAGAAATGGCGAATTTTACAGCGACGAGTGGGAACACTGGATCCTCACCCCTACAAACTAAGAGCTCCGCAGCGTAAACTCAACCTAAGCAACTTAATTAATAGTGTTGGTTAGTGAAACCAAACGGACAGATGTATGTAGCAAGTAGCAGTGAGAACAGTGTTGTAAAGCTAACCCAATAAAACAGCTAAAAATAAGCCAGTTAGTTGCTCTATTCAAGGTGGAGTGCAAAAGATTGCAACTTTTTATAAATACGTACAATAGAATAATTAATAAAATTATGTAATTCGACAAACCTTCGCTGGATCAAAATCAATCAAACGATAGCAGCTTACTTTGTAGCCTTCTGATGTAAGACCAGGTAACGGTACCAAATCGCTATACACAATATGTATAGAAATGATAAATTATTTAAAAATAGTTACCGTACATATTTAAGGCGGTTCAAAAGGAGTTAAGACCACACATTTACTCACGCATAATCGAATGTTTGTTTACTATCCGCATCAGTAGGGTCACGTTCAAGGAAGATGTGTGCATTTTTATTGCGCAAACTGTAATTAATTTGTATAAGCTTTTTGATGCCGTTTATGTCACCGTGCATACATATATAGAAACGCTTCAATAAAATTCGGTCTGCAAATAGATATAAACATTTCATTCAGCAAATAAGGGAATACGAAAAAAATAATCAAGTAAAATTTTAGCATTTCGATTGTATTTTTTAAACCTTCTGTGTTGTTGGATTTTCTTAAAAAAATTCAGTAGTTTTGATGCGAAAAGTTAAGAAATATTAGACGTTACGATTTCAAAACTTCTTGTACCAATTTCCAAATTAAAGGGGTAATTTTTTTCTCGCAAACTTCTTAATTCACGCCTTTTTGCACTTTTTTCTTCAGTGAATTCCAGGCCTAAAATATGCCCACCCATTTTGCTTTTTATTTTATCTCAAACTAACAACACAAAATCAGACAGTACATCTTTTGTTACCTCCCATTTCGCTGGTAACAAAATTTACAGGGTGACAGTGAAGTCAGAATGCGAAATAGTAACAAAATTTACCGAATGGTAACAAAATTTACCGAATGGTAAATTTTAATTCCAAAGTAAATTTTGTTACCTCAACAGAATAGGCCTGTAAACGTGTTTCGGCTCTTTCGTGCTACTTTTTCTCTTAAAAAGAAATCCACCATTTTTAAATAAAAAATATACGGAGAATTTTCATATTATATTTTTTTAAATATTTAGACATTTAAAAATCATTTATTGTATTGCATTTTCTAACTCCTGATTGGGGACTTCATCGAGTGTTTGTCTTTCATGATTTTTGTATTACGTTTTTAGTAAATTGTAAGAAAGTATCTAAAAGAGAGGAGGTTCTTCCAAAAAATTCAAATTGAATTCAAGAAGATGAGGAAAGGGCTGGATTTGCTATAAGCGCGTTTGAATGCAAATCAGCCTCACATTTTTAGAGTTGTTTCCAGGAAACTTTGCAGCAAACAAAATATTGTTTTAATAATTGTTGTTTTCATAGTTACGCTAAAAGTTTTTTAAATATTACAAACATTTTTGAATTCAATCTAACCGCTTGATATATTGATACTATTGATCTCTTAATGATACCATTGTTTGCCATGTGAAGGAAACTCCTTTCATCTCTCCAGATGCTCAAACAACTTGGAGTATTTTTCGAAGCTCAGGAGATTAATGATGCCTAGAGATGCAAGCTATGCAATCGAAGAATCCTTTTCTTACTTCTGCTTTCTAAGAACAAAGGCTACTACCATATAGAATTTTTGTATCGTTCTCTCAATCCTAGTTCACACCCTAATTACATGTCGAATTGTTTAATTCTTCATACAAAATTTTTTAACCACGAATTACGCCAACAGCAGGTAATTCATTTTCAATTCCCAGGCATTGCTATAAAATCATTTACCGGAAATTTATCGAAGCCATCTGACAAATCAAACAGAAAATTTTAAAACATAAAAAAAAACAATGAAGAAAAGTGTTATTTGTATATTGAAAATGAGGTTATTAAAAGTTATTAAAAAATGTATATACATACGAATTTATATACTGTCAAGGCGGTTATTAAAAGTGGTGGCAATACGTGAAATGTCAGAAAATACAATTTTGATTGAATGTGTTGTTTTACTGAAAACTATTTTATTCCTAATTCCTTAGTCCAGCTCAGTAATCAATTTTCCGGTGTGTACCGGAATTCTAGATTTTCGAGCCATACTACCATTTTGCAGTTGTCTGATACACTTGCCGGCACTTTTTTGAGGCTAAAAGTAAAATAAAAACATCACTAGTTCTAAGCAACATTGCTTTTGACTAAAAACTTCCTTTTCCCTTCCATTTTTTTCAAGTGAAACAAAAACATATTAAAATATTCTTTGTGAAAAAATCGTGAGTGAACTATTATACTTCAAAGTTCATTGGCGATTATTGCGAAAAAATTATTGAACTCTGATAGGCTGGTGGCCGGTGGCATAAAGAGATAATTGTTTTGCTCTGACCGTATATCGCAAACTATTTCTCTTTAAATATACATATGTATGTACGTACATAGTTATGCATGCTTAAACATACTCGTACATATTATTTATTTAAATCGATAAAATGTGCAAATAATTTTGGATCTCAATACTTTAATGCGGAATTTTTTAATTTTTATTAAGTAAACTACGAGGCCTTGTTGTTTGTATGAATTGAATATTTGTTATACAACAAACAACGAAGTGACAGCTGTTTCGGGGATCACCACATCTCCTCATCAGACTTCTTATGGCAGGGATCGAACCAACGGATCCTGACTGAACAGGCGAGTGTTCTCCCACTGCGCCAACATCAGCCATATAATCTATTGTTGTATTATTCAATTCATTATTAACCAACAACTATCAATTTAATGCGAGCTTACATTAAATTAAAAACTTTTCAACTCCAAATTTAGTAAACTATTATATTCGTTTATATTTCCTAATTTATATATAAATGTAAATTATCAGATATGTCATCGAAAGCGTAAAAATCGACGCGACACTTTTCAGCCCACAATCCACAAAACTGCTTGTGAAGGTGTTATCGATGTCATTACTACGATACTTTTTTTTATCAGAATCTGCACCAGTTTGAAAAGATAAATAAGCGTTTTTTTGGTTGTTGTTTATTTTAAAAAGTAAAATATGTTCAAATTGTCAACATTTTTATATTCAAAAATAAAATGATGTAATCCAAAAAATTAATTATAATAAACTTTTGATCACCACACTCTTTGCAAGCACAAATCATCGAATTGTAAGCAAAATAACGGCTATATGTAGAAAAGATATCGAAAGAAAGTTATCTAAATATGATGATGAGATACAAGCTACGTACAAGAAGAACGGCTAGCCAACATCAAAAGACGATACTAAGAATTTTAAAATGAACGCATGATGAGGAGTTAATGTTGGACTCTAACACGTGAGACAAATCCATTTCTCGTCATCTCGAATTGGTTGCTTTTAATTGAATAAAATAACCAGAAAAAATTAAGTTCAAATCAAAATCTAGAAGTGAAAATTCGGATTCGACCGTCAACTAGCTATTATCAAAAAGGATATATAATGTTTTGTAAATTTTTACAGACTACAACTCTTAACTGTTAACTCTAAGATCAAACACTGTTAAGCCAAAAGCGGTTAATTTAGTTAATGCAGGGTAGGTAACGAACAAATCTTTTTGACACCTGTGAACAATCACTAGCTTTTTTAAGTACTTTAACACTCGAATATCTCTCCAATGTTTATCCCTACATTCGACTCTTTTTAAGTTATGTACGTTAGTTACGCTCTCATTTTCAAATCATTTAATTTTATATTTCATTTCGTCACATTTTTCACTTAATTTGATTTCATTAAATTTTTTCGAAATATATACATATAACTTTATAGTAACTTTTACTTGAATTAATTTTTTTTCTTTAATTTTTAAACTGGAAATTCGCTCATATCTTCATCTCTTAAATTAAGCATTTGCCCTAATCGAAAAAATACACTCATTAGTTTGACAGAACACGTAACGGTAATAACACTTTGTTTCAAATATGGAACATTATGTATTAAATTTAATGGACAAATAAAAATTTAAATGATATTTCATCATCAGCAATTTTGTTGCATAAATTGGCATTTCCTATTAGGAAGTATATTTTCACGACTTTTTAATGAAATAAATTTGAATGCTGACGATCGTCACTCACCAATTTCTTTAGGTAGTTTCGGATTTTGTCGAAACCAATCGTACAATTCATCAATTTTAGCTTCTTCTGCTTCGTTAAATTTCATTGTGCGTTATCTATGTGTATATGTGATCACTTTGAATACGTATTTAGGTTTTATATTGTTTATTCTATTAGTAGATAAACATTTAATTTAAAAACTCTTTCCTTGTTATCCTTTATGTTTGCAATTTCTAGCTTTCACTTTCATTTGCAATACCACTACTGCAAATAATTACTCTTACGCTTTTTACTCGTTTTTTTCTCTCTGCATTTTCATTTCATAATATACCACACAATTGATTGTAAATATGTGTGTATATTTATATGCACCTACTCCGCCTATTCATTTCGTGTGTGTGCTTTTTGACGTTAAGTTTAGTACATACAGCTGTGGAATCTAAAAGTTAGCGCTTCACTACATAAGACGCCTGATTTGTTCAGCTTGAGTTGTTGTGCTCACGAAGTTCGGTGCAACGGCCGTTATACACGTACGAAAGCAGTGTCTCTCAAACCATTCAGTAAGAAGTTAAGAATAAACAAAATTTAAATTAAGACCATTAGACGGTAGGCATATTGAATCGTTCTCAGTAAGGCAAAAGGTGTTTTCGCATTCATTAAGGGGCATATCTAGTGTGAAATTTCAAAAAAATCGGTAGATTACACCTTTAAAAATAACATATTTAAATCGATATCTCAATCGATTATTTTATCTTTAAACGCGTTTTTCTCGAAACATCTTCCGAATTTGCTGTAGTGATAACTCAAAAAAAACATATGATCCGATCACTATTGAATTTTTTTACATGTTATATATATAGTTCTCCGTACAATGACCTATCGATTTTAGATCTGATCAAAAAATCGAGTTTTAGCAGTCCAAAAACGACCAAGATTTTGGGTAAAATTCGACTATATTATTATTACAAAAATTTTTTTTTTAGATTTCATCCACGGAGAAGGCCGGAATCACTGCAGCAATGAAGGACCTTTTTTTCGCGCCGTTGGAGATCGACTATAACTTAAAAGATATTTATTTTTTTTTCTTTAAAAATTTCACTGTATATTCTTAAAACACGTATAAATATATTCTTCAAATTTTGATATAATTGATAAGGTATTTTTTTAAATAAAATTTCCCAAAAATCACCTATTTTTAGGCCATTACACTAGGTGCGCTCCTTAACGATGGGCCAAGGAGCTCACTTCACTTGTTAGACCAATTTTGGAAAACACGCTATCAATCATATAGTGATAAAGTGGGGTCTGTACAAAAGCAATTTCACACCTTACAAAAGTTGTTTACACACTACATTTTAGCAGAGAGATGCTTGGCTTAAATTTTGAACTAAATTGATGAGAGGTTAGCTTTATCACCGCCTTAAGATCTTTTGGACACTTTAAACCTCTTTTATTGTGTTCCGGCAAAACGAACTTTGATATGCTCGATTCTTCTGTTGTTTGTGTAACGATTTTAATACTCATTCCATCAAATCAAATCAATCAAATACTTGCTGAGAATTTTAAATAAATAATTAATTTCCTTCTACTTTTTTCCACACAAGCGTTCAAGTGTGCCCCTCGTTCGGTTGGGCGAGAGGTGGGTGAAGCTCGGCTCGTCGTCAAAATTAAGAAAAGGTATTAGAGGTCATTAACTTAGAAAATCTCTGTACCATAAAGCTACTTCAAATCTCTACGTTCTATTAAAAATTTAGGAAAATTTATTTTTATGCTGCAGTAATGAAACATTTTTGGGATTTCGCGGTCACCGCTCGGCAGGTAATGTCAAGCTCTCCGAAGGTTTTACTGAAATGAAATAAATAACCATCAGCCGTACGAAGGTGGCTTAGTATAAGCTTTTGGTCCCTCCATTTGTTTGAAAACCATCAAGACGCACACCATAACTTGGAGGAGTGGCCGTCAGGGGGATTAACAAAAGTTCGGTCAGTTGGTGACTTTCAAATTGTGTTTATTAATTTAAAAAATACCAAAACCTTGGCAATTACTTTATTAGTCTCCCTTTCAAATTTTCGAACGATCGGCAAAGAAAGAGACTAGAAAATGTAAGATGAAATTCCACCTCCAACGCAAACAGAGATGCACCATGTGATTCTCTTCGGATCAAAATATTCACTGAATACCAAATTGCATATGGAATGATTCCATCGTCTTTAAAGACTATTTCTTAGTGGTTCCGAAGATTCCAGACCGGACATATTTCGACAAGGTCAACCAAAATTTTTCACTTCTACTGACCGCATCACTGCAGCTCCGGTGAAGTCCAAACGTGACGACGAGGACCCACGATTGACACAAGAAATGATTGCCAATGAATTGGGCTTAAATACCACGGCTGTATCGCAAATATTAAGTAATCATCTTGGATACACCAAGAGATCTGATCGATGGGTACCACGAATTTTGAACGAGGTTCAAAAAGATTCTCGAGTGTATTTTGCTCAATTTTTCCTAAACAAACTGGAAAATGGTCAGTCTATCAACTTTAATAAAGTCGTATCTGGTAACGAATCTTGGTTCTTTTAGTACGACCAAGAAGCCAAACAGTGGTCCATGGTATAGAGCCCAACAGGAGCAAACCACCCTTAAAATCTAAGCATCAAAAATCAGCAGCGAAAGTAATGATGTCAGTTTACTTTATTCGATCTAAAATCGTGGCTGCTATTCCACCGGAAAAGGATCAGGCGGTAACTGCAAAATGGTACACCGAAGAGTGCTTACCGAAAGTTTTCAAAAATTTGTTGGAAAAGAAGAAAGAGGAATTGCGGCGGTACTTTTTACATCATCACACCATCCCGCACTGCTGATATTACGAGAAATTTTATTGTGATCTCTGAGATCGAAGAAATAGGTCCAGCACCATATTAACCGGATATATCACCTTAACATTTCTGATTATTTCCATATCCTGATACGACCAACATCCAAAAGTTATGGAAAATTAATTTAAATAAAAAATTAATCTTAATTTTCTAATTGCAGGGACTGTCAACCCATACGAAATAAAGGCTCCACATAAAAAAAACTGGGCTGACAGATCACTCAAATCGGCTTGTTACGCACCCATGCAAGATTTACTGTCGAAAAGGACCGATTGTATTACACTGCATATGGCTGAAAACCCAGCACAATCACGACGAAGCAGGTTTCCGTGGTGAGAGGTCAAGAAAATGTAATAAACTTTTTAAGCTTAAGGTGTTACGGTGTAACATTTCATTTAGTTATTAGGAAGATCAAAAAAAAAATATTCTACGGAATTTGGAGCGTTGTTATGATGGCAGATTACGTCAGAGCTTGCTACAATGTACTAAAAGGATTCTCATTGGGGAAGAATTGTTTTTAATACTTACTATTTAAAATTATTATAAATATTATATTGTATTTTTGTTTTCGGATGATAATTTGGTTAAAATACGTGTATAAAATATGACGTTCGCGGACTTGTGTTGTTGGCGATACGATCTTTAATCAGTTAGATTGTAAAGAAAAGTATATACATATATTTTTAATTTATTCATATAAAATAACTGAATGTATCGGAAAGTATTAGCAACTAACAAAACATACCTCCTTACATAGATATACGCATCTGTACTATATAATAATGCCTGTTGATATTTTTTATGTCAAAGTATTTATAGACAAAAATAATTTCAAGCAAAGCAATGGCTTGAAAATGATAGAGAGCTCCGCTTTATCAGAAACAATACCGGTATAAATGAGCGCATATGCCAAAGAATTTTTCTTCCAGACCTTTGCCATACAAATGGAAGTCCGAATTGCTTCCGTATCTACTGTATCCGCAAAATGACAAATCTTCTATGCGAAACAAAGTTTGTTGAGTTCATAAGTTCATTGACGACTCTCAATGAGATGAGAAAAACTGGCTAGTGGATATATATTTTTATTTAATCGAAAATATTTATGTTTTTACTGCCATTCGGAGGACCCGTGCTTATATCCCGGTGTCGTACTAACATCCAAAAATGTATAGAAAATTAATTTAAATAAAAAATTAAGTTAAACTTTCTAATTGCGGCCGCCCCTCGGCGGGGAATATCAATTCGTCCGACTGTATTTCTTTCTTGGCCCCTCCATTGGTTGGAAAAAAACATCAATACACAAAACCATAAATTGGAGGAAGAGATTGGCCAAAGTGCCATTTATATGTATATTATATATATATTTCTATTTTTCTCTCAATTAAATCTATTGGCTACATTTATACATATGTACATACTCTTCATACATGTATAATTAAAACCCAACCGCCCTTATTCTTATCAAATATCACATAAACTGCTGTAAACATAAAGCATAAAATTCACGAATAGTTTTTGAACAATTGTCAGAACCAATACCAACGACGCGAGTTTTGAGTCTGATCCATTTTCCAATATTTCTCATCCATAAGAAAATCCCTAAAAAGCAAAACAGAAAGTATGAATACACTCATACAAGAGCGTGAAAAGAGAGTAATAATTTTTGACTTGCCTTTTTACTTTTAATTCGTCCGTCCATATTTTCTTCAGTTCAGCTATCTCACCAGCATTTCCGCCATATTCGTTTGGCAACATCTCGCGTGGAATATACTCAAATAAGCTTTCCATGCCATCTGTATGGAAATGGATCTATGGGTAAATGAATAATATATTGATCGCATATTTGAGATGCCACTTATTAACTATTGATTTTTATATATATAAATACTATATAAGCCAAAAACGTGAAATGTATTTTACTTTTTAATGAATATTTTGTTTACCCACCTCGAACGTCAAATGATCAGTAAGAGATTGAAGGAGAGAGAGGATGCTCAGGGGAGGAAAAATGATGATAAATGATTCGGGAGTGAACTTTATAGGGAAAATTAGAGGTCATGCGGTATAACCATTCCTCTTTTAACCCTAAATAAAAATGTAAATGTGTTCAGTTGAGCTTATAGGTATGCTCCGGGTAAAAAATAAGAAGTAGTGCGGGGTAATCTTTTCTCCGGTGGTTTGGGGATGGGATGTCCATTCTACTGTTGTGTCGGGAATTTCTTTGAGCGGTTTGTTAAGCACGATTACGTCCCTTAAGACTTGGTGTGCTTCAGCCATTTGTAATGCTTGTAAACATCTAGGCAAGTAAACATCCAAGCTTTGAAGCGCTTTACCAAACACCTCGAGCTTAGCTTAAATGTAAATTAACTTTAAGTTTATGACTTCACTGTGCACTTGGTATAATTGTACTTATGTAAGTTTTTAAATTATATAAGCATGTAAGCCTCTCCTTCTCCATCGACTATGCCTTTTCCATGCGAGGGTGCCACATAGTTCCATTCGGCTGTTTTAAAATTAAATTGAACGAGTTTGATTAGGGAAACGTAAACATCGAGTTTGCTGCGGTGATGCGTTTTTATGTTCGCGGAATGTTCAATACATTTGCCTGCATCTTTTTGGAAACTGTCTCCTGGAGTTGATCATCAGACTTTTTTCGAACCGAAAAATGGACAACCCTTTAGTTCGTTATTGAAGCCAATTTTCCCGAAAATGAAAAATTTTTTGTATTCACCGATAATCCATGGTAAATATTAAAGCGATTCAACAAAGAAGTTTTCTGCAGTTGAAAGCTAAGTTTTCAATGAATTCATTGGTGACGGTAAATATCAAACCGATGAAATCGATCAAATTGAAAAGCGATTGCGAAATTTTGTTCCCAAACTGGTAGTTATGAAATAGTGGCAGTATTTGAAAAGCGAACAAGCCGTGATTGGAAGGTAATTTTGTATTGCCTGATCTAAAAGTTAATATGTATGTCATTCGAAGACTGCATAACGGACACTCAAGTACGTGTAATGGTAGCTGCCAGCGTTGTCCTATACGAGGGTGGAAAAAAGAAGAGATTCGCAAATAATACTGACTGAGGATAAGTTTTTTGATGTCGTGTGCCTAAATTATTATTAAAAACTTAAGTTTTGTTTCATAAAATTTCCATGTTGACCAAAATTAGAACATATATTGTAACTATTGTAAGGAAAATAGAACCGAGATTGGTCTTTTCGTTTTCAAGTTGTAAATTGATTCGCGCCGAAGGCTATTTCGTCCACTGTATAGAGGTCCAAAAATGCACTTAAACCCTCTAAGCGTTGTTTTTCAATTTCTCAATAAATGTTTTTCGTGGAAAAGAGTCTCCGTAAACCAATTATGGTTGCAGCAGATTTTCCTTTCTTGGTATGGAACTTTATGACGGCACGACCTTCGATTTTTTACATATTTCTCATATTATTTTCATTCTCAATATCGCAACAAACGGACTGTGAAAAACTATGGAAGTCGGTAGGAAACTATATACGACCCTCTACTAAAAATTGAAGCTTGTCAGGGTTTTGCTTCACGACAATGCGACAGCTCACACTTCCTTGCTTGTCCGTGAATTTTTGGCCAAAAACAATCCATCTTTAATATTCCCCAGACATGGTTCCGCGAGAGTTTTTCGAGCCGTTCATTTACCGCGTATCGCTGAAAGATCTAAGGGCTATCGCAAAAATCGAGTTTGACAAGTATTTCGGGCACTGGAAAAAGTCTCTAATGGAGACTACTTCGAAGGCGACAGCATCAATGTAGACTAATTAATAAATAATAAGAATTTTAATTTTTTTGATCACACTGTTTGTTTTGTATGATGTCCGAAGCTGTCCGGCAGTCAGAATTCGGAAAGACCTCTCCGAGATGTTCGATACCAAAAGAGGTTTCAGACAGGGTATCTATTTATAGTGTGATTTCTTCGATTTGATTCCACCTCGTTGGATGGATTGGGTGGAGAGTGATCTGGTTTCACTCGGTATTTCAAACTGGCGTCATACAGCGAAAACAAGCTCGGAATGGCGCGCTAATACTGATTCGGGCATAATCGCATTAACGTTGCCAACGCCAATAAAGAAGAAGACATTAAAATAGGTTTGAGTAACATTTTCAGACACATGCCGAGAACGATCACGAAGTAATGGTAATTCAAGTAATGTAATAAAGATGTGTTTAAATAGAAAATTAAAAGGCAGATAAATGAAGCGGCAATCATCTGCAAATGCGATATAGATTTTTATAAAACGCTTAAAAAAGCTTTGATTTTCACGTCCATATCACGCATAAGTATTTGAACTAAATTTATTATAAGAAATACATATATATATATACATTCATTTACCATTTTATAGACATCCTCATGTATGAAGGGCTTAACGATTGCGATCATTTTGTTCAAAAACGGCGGACAATTGATTATGTGCATGGAGCGTAAACGCACTGGATACGCTTCTTGCAGAAAAGTCATATACATACGCAATAGTGAGAAGGAAATGCGCGCCATGTGAGATAAGGTGTAACCCGAAATGTCACAAATTTGCACTTCACCATTTGATATGAAATTATCTTCTAATATGTCATCTACATTTTCAGCTTCCGTGTCATTTGTGTCTGACGTTTTCATATCGTTAACTGTTTCGTGTTGCGTCGTCGGTGTTTCCTCAATGTCGGTAGCAGAGAAACGGCAGTCGCCCAGCATGAAGAAAGCTTTGCATTCTGTTGCGCTATTTAACTGCGTTATGTTTTAATATTTTCTTTGAATTCAAGCTTTTTATGTTTTAACATTTCCTACTAACCTTTTTTGGATCTGTGTCTGCTAGCCTGAAGAATAACAGTTTATAACCTTCCGATGTGAGACCCGGCAGAGGTACCATTTCTCTGTAATTAAATATGAAATAAATGCCAATTATACAATTTCTTTACAACGGTTTGCAAAGTGTGATCTCTTAAACAAAAGTACGTTCAGTTATTAATTTGTGATATCTTTTTTATTCTCTTATTAAAATACCTTTTTTTAAAAGCAAACGTTAAAATATAATTTAATAGCCTAATTTATTAGTGTTTTATTGGAGGTAGACCACTGTCATAATATTAATAGTTTTTTTAATGCTGGGTATACTATATAGTCTCGACTTTGAAAATCCAAACAGAACATAATCCAATAAATATTTAAAATCTAAAACAGAGGAAACAAAAACAAGGATTTATATTATAATAAGCTAATATTCCCTTTAAGTCAAAATTTTCTTCCAATTTACTGAAAAAGGGACGCGATTCCATTGTATCCGATGTATTTATTAACATACATTAAAGAATTATAAGTATAAGGTATGATCAAAAAGTTAAGATTCCCATATTTATTTATTCATCTTCAAAGATGTTGTTGTTTCCAAAATAGTTCTCATTAGGGGTTATGTCCATTTTTCACGTATCAAATTCGATTTTTAAGATACAATTTCTTCGGCTTTTTGCACATTTTCATCGGTTGTTGATGTGCTGGGGGCCAGAGCGCTCATCACGGTCTTATTTGAAAAGGTTATAACACTCCTACCAGGGCGGCCACGGTGGTTAGCATTGCGTACTGTCATTCGGAAGGTTAGGGTTCAAATCCTGGTGTCGTACTAACATCCAAAAAGTCATAGAAATTTAATTTAAACAAAAATTAAGCTAAGTTTTCTAATTCCAGGTGTTTTGTTTTTGTGCCCTCGCATGGATAGGAAGGCCATGCAATACGTTCATCTTCGGAAGCATTTCCTAGACACAGCGAATACCCCTACTGGTAACACATTTACATTTTGTCGGTATTTTGTCGAGATTTTTTGCTAGGGTTGCGTGTTTTTGGAAAATGTCGTGTCTGGATTGTATTTTTCAGGATTTTGTATTACGAGCTCAGTGCTCAGTGCTAATTAACGCCAAATAAAAACATTAACATAAATTGTGCTCATTTTTACTTACACAACTTCTCGAATAGCTTTAACTTCTTCGTCGTCAGGATCTCGGTCAAGAAATATGTGGGGATTTTTATTACGTATTGAAAAATTTAACTCAATAAGCTTTTTAGTTGCTTCTACGTCATAGTACATGCATTTGAAAAAGCGTCGCAAAAGAATACGATCTGCAAAATAAGGATATTAATAATACCACAATATTTCGACAATAAGTAATATGAGAAAAAAAAATGTTATCAGATGAGGAAATACAAAAAATAATATGATTTTTTTTTGCTTATGAAGTTACTTTGGCACTTTTCCGATATGCAATACATAAATTAATTCTTGGAATTTACTACCTTTGTTTCTATTATTTAAAATATTTATTTAAGTATTTGTTAGTTTAACGAACAGTAACAGTGATTCGAATAAGGGTAAATCCAATTTTTTAGTTTGAAGGCAGGGAAGAGCTATGTATTTAGAAAAGCATTAATATACTCGTACATACATACACACATACATATATCAATTCGCCAATAAACTAAAATCTTATGTTGCTAACAATTTGAACGGTCTATGCTCGATATCTTCTTCTTCTTCTTTATGGTTTTTACTTTCACAGAGGCAAAGTTACATCTTGGCGCATTGTGCTTCAAGCCCTTTTGACCTCTTGAGCGTACGTACGATATGATGAATGTGGTTGCGAGATTTACGATCCGTAAGTGGATTGATGGATTTTATTTTGCCGTAATCTAGTCCACAGACAAACATATTTCGTGATCAGTACACAGTCCATTTGGGAATGTTTCGTCATCAAGGCTGAATTTTCCACCCTGCCATTAGGCTTATTTTGAAAAGAAAATTACGAATAATTGTACACTAACTCGTCAAAACACATATAGCTTTCACATTGGAGATGGTGAGAAAGATTGAAGATTGGTCCATCGAATCATGAAACATAAAACAAATAATAAAAATAAGGATAAGGTTAAAAGCGAAGAAATACACTAGGGGTCACAATTCTCGAACTCACATTATATTTGTGTAACCTTCTAAAGTCACCTAAGTTAGACTCAAAAGGTGCAATGAAGTATATTTAAAACGGTTTACAAGTTATGCCAGATTTTTTTGTAAATAACAACAACAAATTCGAAAAGTGTCTAATCAACGATAAAAATTTTAAAGTCAATGAATTGATAAATAAATATCCTGTTTTTCCAAATATGATACATTTAATCGTTGGAATTTCAAAACGGTTTTAATGATAGTTTTATATATAACATATATATTATTATGTTAAATAGAACTTTTTCGAATAGATTGGTCCCTAGTCTACGACCCTGGAGGTAAAGAAATCCTTTAACGTATTCCCAATATCAAGCGAATCGAACCGAAAATGAGATTTTTTCGAATATATCGACTCCAGCACCACTTCCGGGAAAGAAATGTTCTCGTCTTAAGCAGAGTTTCAGGTCTCTACGCCATTCATTCAGGGCAAAGTCTTTTATATATTATATATATAATATATATATATATAGTACATATAATAGGTATTAGTACATACAATAGGTATTGGCGGACTCGGCGAACTTCGCCTTGCTTCAATTCTATGCCTCTGGATTAACTCTAGAGTGATAAGAAATATATATGGTTCAAATCTTAATGAGAATTATTCGAATGAATTCGAAATCAGTAGAAAGCGATATGATTGTGCCCGACTAGTTTTACGGCGCAAGAAGAAACAACAAGACTGTTTGCCAGCGTAGACTGACCATAAAGAATTTGTTTTATTTTCTTAAGTAAGTTTTGTCGAAAAGAATCTTAACGATTAAAAGTGAATCGAATCAAAAACAAGATTTTTACTTGTATACAATAGGGGTATTCTCTTGACCTTGCATAATCATGGCACGGTGCAATATGCAGAATATCTAAAGCAGCTGCTCCAATAATAAAATCATTTAACTTTTTCGGAGGTACGCGGTATTATAACAACAAATTCAAAACCTCTCTTCATTCACTCTTGCATATTTCAGCATAGCATTTTTGCAATCCTTGTACCGTGCAAGGTCAAGAGAATACAGTATGAGTGGAGAATATCGTCTCCCCTTCCAGGGAAAAATTAATTAGTAGGTATGGTTGCTCTCTTTTTCACGAATTCATTGATATATAGCATTTCTTGTGCAAATGAATACTCATCTACTCATCTTTGGATATAGTCTAGAGAGACGGCAATCTTAACCAGATTAACTAGAGAAATTGGAATTTATTTAAGGGTTACTATAGCTAATTCAACCTTGTAACCTTGGGCCGGGCCAACACCTTCTTCGCCGTACCACAGTATTCTGAAGTGAAACTCCTTTGCAAGTTGGAGGCCTTCGGCCTTGCTTTAGATTGTGACCCTAAACTTCGCCGCATAAAGTCTTTTATGTAAAATTTTGTTATGCAATTTTTTTGTGCTTGCATATTTTTCGTTAGTTTTTTAACATTATTTTACATAGTACGGCAAAGTGAGCATTTGCTTTAATCATAATGGAATTTTCTAATGTCTCTTTCAGTTGGATTGCGCGTTAATTTAAACAAAATAAGGGGAAAACAGTTATTTAAATGAAAGCAATATTTGCGTTCGTTAAAGGAAAAGTAAGGAATAGTAAACTTTTATAATATATTTAAATTCCCATTGTTGAAATATTGGAAAAAGGTATGCTTCTCAAGATTCCTACAAAGTTTCATGTCGAAATTCTCTGTGATTTCCTTGTGATATCAAGTGCGGGTGAAAACTAAAGCTCAGTCCTAAAAGTCCTAAAAGCAACCAAATGCGGCTTAACTAGCCGCTATTCGAATGACTCTATGTAAGTAATTGGTTTTAGACAAATTATCAACCAGTCTAATGTCAGTAAATTCCAACTTTCCTACTAGCAGCTGATAACCGTTTCAAACTATTACACTTACGAACATACATTCATACATAGTTATTGTATTTATAACATAGTAATTTTGTGCATTATTATTTTTTTTCTTCTTGTAAACTCATGCACATAAATTTATTTATTTCCATGCTTGTACATAGTATTGTAGGTAGGTAAATATAATAGTATGCTTTCAAATATGGCATTTTCAAACGTGTGTTAGTATATTCGTTCGTACATTGATGCTAGTGATAAGCATTAATTATTTCATCGCTTGATTGCACTAATGTTCGGACAATATATTTTTTTTATTATACGCAGTAAATATCAATGCTTTCGTATTAGAAATTGTTATTTTATTATATTTCAATATTAAATACATATGAATGTTATTTAAAAAACTGACATATCGACCAACAGCCCGCCACTCATTTCTACATATGTCATCGTACATATATACGTGTATGTTACTTTATTCAATTTTATACATAAATACATATATTTTATTATTAATTTGTCTAACTTAATTATTATTATAAATTATTGCATTTTGCGCACACATTACTTTCCGATTTGTATTTTCACTATATTAGTAACCGGTTTCTTGTACGTACCAATTTTTTCCGGCAATTTCGGATTTTCTTTGAACCATTGTTGCAATTCATCTAATTTTTTATTAAGCTGCTGGCTAACCATTTCTCTCGATTACTATTCAAACACTCACTATCACTTTGTTTATATTTATAGCTATTTTTATTTTAGTATCATATAATAATTTTATTATAGTTGTTCATATGTATGTATGCGTTTTTATTTATGCTTCGTAAAATATTTGCTTCCACAAATCCAGCTTTCTCAGTCGTTGGCGCTATCGCAACTGACCAGCTAACGATTATATTTGAATAACTACAGCTGATTTTAGCGTTGATTTTAAGCTATCGTTTCTTTTCACATTTCATTATACATACACGTATATACTTAGTGCATATTACCCACTCAGTCGAGCGACTACATAAAGTACACGTAAATATGTGTGTAGAAATTAAACTCATGCACAGTGGTGACAATTGTAACTCTACTTAGAGAATTATTTTAGGTATTTACATGTTATAATATAGAAGTTGGTGTTTTGTTACCCCTGACAGGCATATTCTCACTGTTACCGGTGAAGTAAATTTTGTTACTTTTCTTTAACACCCGAAATTGAATTTGGTATTCTGGTGAACTGGTTACAATGTTGAAAAAAATTTGGCAGCACTGCATTTTTCGTTCTTGCCAAATTAAATTTGCCAATTGATAAAATAAAAAGAAAAATATCCACATCGAAATGAAAGACGGTGCACAAAAAAATTGAAAAGTTTTATTGATTTGTTTATTAAATCATAAATATTTGAACCTAATTATGGAAAATATGCCTGGACAACAAAAAAAAGCTGAATGAAAACGTTATCGTACAAATTAATGTGCTATTTTTTAGTCTCGAAAACTTTTTAAAATACGGCTTTTTGCACTTTTTTCTTCATATTCAATGAATCCCAGGCTTAATATATGCCTAACCATTTTGGTTTTTTATTTTTTCTCAAATTTACAACACAAAATCAAACAGCAGATATTTTTTTACCTCCTACTTCGCTGGTAACAAAATTTACAGGGTAACAGTGAGCTAAGAATACGAAATGGTAACAAAATTTACTGACTGGTAAATTTTAATACCTAGGTAAAATTTGTTACCTCGACGGAATAGGCCTGTGATTCGCTTTTCAGCCGAGCTACAGTTTTATCAACACAAACATTTGCCCCCATTCCGTTTGGCATCGCGGTAAACAATGACGACTTGTCAAAATTGTAATTGTTATCGATACATATTGAAAGCAATGAATACATTTTGACTTGATTTCTAGAAGTTGAACTTATAGAAGTTGAAGCTGTTACATTATATGATTTCTTGTTTGTGCTACCATTTCAACAAATTACAAAAACAACGCACATGAAGAATAGATTTTGACATTGCGAACTTTCGATTACGCCATCCAAATACATTGGGCGAATTTCGATTTTGACATTTTGAATCTATGATTACACAAACAAAACACATAGGCCTTCTGTTTTTGAATTCTCAAATTACAGATGCCAGAACCATACCATAACAGCAGGTCCAATGAGCTTAAGGGGCTGCTTCTTTTTTACTTTATAATATTCTTTGTTTGCTTGCTTGCTTGCACCTCGTTACAGCATAACCAAGCAAGCATTTATGTAATACATTTTTTGATCAACGATCAATGCCGAACACACTTGGTGGGGCTCTCGTCAAACTAGCCCCAAGGACCAAGAGTTGTATAGATGTGTTAGGGAAAATAATTTTAGCGTTCTCTCCATCGGCGGACCCACTTACTGGCTTACCGACCCTAACAAAACTCCTGAAGTGATTGATTTTGCAGTATACTCTGGCATTGACTCAAATCTTCTCAAAATATCTAGTAATGAGGACCTCAGCTCAGACCATCCCGCTCTAATTATTAATTTTAATACCCCAACAATACTCACTACCCGGAAACTGCGGATTTTAAATAAAAAATCCAACATAAAACTGTTTCAAGACTGGCTAGAGTCTCATATAAATCTCAACATGGTGATGAACTCAAATAGAGACTTAGATGATGCTGTGGAGAACTTCACCAACAAAGTACATGAAGCCGCCTTTTTATTTCATCTGACAATCGAACAAAAAACTTTTAAACCATATAGAAAAAAGCTACCATATACCGATGCAATATCTGAGCTGGTAAAAAGCAAGAGAAGTCTTCGAAGAATTTGGAAAAGCAGAAGAAATCCACATGACAAAACAGCACTTAACAAAGCAATCAAGGAACTTAAGCATAAACTAGCTGAAATGAAAGAAGAGTCGATCGGAGAATATCTTAAAAATATTAATCCAAAGAAAGACGATGAATATAACATTTGGAAGGCCACAAAATACTTAAAAAGACCAACATTACGACAAATCCCCGTAAGAGATGTTAACAACTCATTGTGTACATCAAATGAAAGAAAAGCATATTCTTTTGCCAATCATCTTAAAAACACATTTAAATCATTTGATATTAACAGTGACAGCCAAAGCTTTTATTGACTTTCCGTGTCCAATGGATAACGACATGCTCTTCGTTATTATCTCAGAAGTCCAGACTGAAATTTCAAGAATGAAAAATCCAAAGTCTCCTGGTCATGATAATATTGATGCTTTGACAATTAAGCAACTTCCAAAAAAAAATTTTTATTATTTTAGTGATGATTTTCAATTGTAGCTTTTAGCCTAGCCACTTCCTTGCTGATATAATCATGGTACCAAAGCAACAAAAAACTGAAAATGAGCTATCCTCATGCAGGCCAATAAGTCTACTGACAATATTCTAGATAATACTCGCAAGGATATTTCTTCGAAGATTATTGCCAGAGTTAGAGAGACAATCGATTATTCCAGATCATCAATTCGGTTTAAGGCAGAGGCATAGCACTCCGGAGCAATGCCATCGTTTAGTTAAAACAATAAACAAAAAAAGATATGTTGCGCAATATTTCTCGACATGCAGGAAGCATTGACAGAGTCTGGCACTCAGGACTGCTATATATAATTAAAAAGATACTTTCCAACCCCTTCTCTCTCTTTCCTAGATCTTACCTAAGTTACAGACATTACTACGTTAAAATTCAAGATTCAGTTTCAGACATATACGAAGTAAATGCTGGAGTTCCACAAGGTAACCCAGGCTGCAGAGATTGTACAAAGACAATTGAATGAACTACAAAACTGGTTTACCAAATGAAACATTTCGGTAAATGCTTCAAAATCTGTCCATGCTACATTTACACATAGGAAAGAAGAGATTCCAAACCTCAGGCTCAATCAAACCGTAATTCCTAGCTAGTATAGTGCTAAATATCTCGGACTAGACTTAGATAAAAGATTAACCTGGCGTGAACATATTAGAGCCAAAAGAAAGCAGCTTCGATTAATAGCGAAAGCACTATGGTATATAAAAAATACTAATTTACACGAAGATCTATAAACACCCATGGTTATAGACGAAATAAAAAGGTTCAGCGGAAGATATATCGAAACACTTAACAACCATCCAAACACACAGCTTTCCTGCTAGACGTTAGCGAGAAAGTACGAAGACTACAAACACTGCCTCCTCTTGTCTTGCCATTCAGAATCTATAAAAAAATATACATACATACCTTAAGTTTAGGACAAATTGCTCTAATGCATGGACATAAATCTAAGTTATAGTAAAATTTACTTATTGTGAAGCGACAGATTGTAAATAAATAAATAAAAAAAATTTTTTCTCTGCTTTTGGTTATTTCTATGGCTTTTGGAAATATATGAGTTAATTATTTTGCCAAAAAAAAAAAAAAAAAATATGCAGATAAATGAATGATCTTTTATAAGATTCGCTTTAATAATTAATTTCGGTTAACCTCGTTGCGGTACGGTTAATCCCCAGCAGTATCGCAGCAGCGGATAATCTGTGGCCCATCAAAAATATCGACCTTTAATTTCTCTGTGCTTAAATAGTTTAGGTTCTTTGCTAAATTTGAAATCAGAGTCAGAGTCTTGACTTTATATGTTTCGCTCGGGACTTTTATAATTAGAAGATTTAGATATGCTATGGATGTGGTTTCTCACATGAATGTAATCAAATTGGCTGCGCAGAAAATAATATAGGATATCACCACTTACTTCGATTTCCAGAGTTAATTTTTTTAAACTCAGGGTTATTGCATCTATTGCATCTATTTTAAAATTTAATCAGGAGAACCCATTTTTTTTAAATGAAAAATGTTATATAGGATTTTAAATATTTAGATTTAACCCAAAAAAACTAAAAATCAAAAAAATAAAAATCATTATTAATTATTTTTTGGCGAAAATAACATTCAAATGTAGTTTCCTTTTGAGAAAAATAGAAAGTCTTATTTTTAAGACACACTTACTACTAAATATTTACTACTATTTTGCCATATAAAATGCTTGGTTGTTAAAACCCTTCCCAAATTAAAGCGACTTTTTTTTGATTTAATTAAAATTTTAAATAAATTTTTTCATAACTGAATTTAGTTATTTTGTTTTGTTATTTTGCTGTGTAGTAATTTGAACTTATTACCTTTCAATCAATATGAATTTATATTTGGGTATTTACACCGGCTTTGTTAATTTCATTGATCGGTAAGTCTTGTATATTTTGTTTTTGTAAAATTAACAGATAACCGTTTTACCGAGTAACAAAATACCAGTTTTTCAAGCTTGATTGGTATTTAGAATTTAGCTTTGTTTTTGTTAAACGAAAAAGCATCAAAAACAAGTATTAGCTCTCTTCACTGCACATGCTTCACTCCATCCAATTGGTTACTACACAAACTTTCTCTGATATTTTTGCCGTAGTGGGATGGACATGTTGTTATATCAAAATAATCATTACCAAATAATACCAGCGAATTATTGTACTTAAAAGTTCGTAGGTCTTAATATTAATTAAAACATCAGCTGGATCAAGATGACCCACGACTTTCGATAGACCTGGGGAATAGTAAATAATTACTTTGCACAAGCCTCATGAGCAATCTCAATGAATGTTTACTTTTCCAGTTTTCCGCAAGCGTTCAAAAAGCGGCAATATTTTTCCAAACAAAAAGTTTGCTGAAATGGATGTTGATTTTTTTTCCTAATTTCAATATTTTAATGATCCCTATTTTTATCAAAATTATATTAGCTTTTATTATAATTATTATTATTTTTTCAATACCAATTTCTAATGTAGTAAATTACCATTTTTATGACAGATATGTCAACCAAAGCACAAAGAGTTGGTGC